GTACCAAAAAAAATTGACATGCGAGCGAGTCCACCTAGAAGCCGAACCCCTACCCAAGGTATATACGTCTAGTGCACCCCTTGGAAATCAGCTCGGTGAAGAAATAGGCCATCCTACCTTAATTATCTACATCACAAGGAACTACATGAGCAATAGCCTAGTAAGTTAACTTATGTGTGTCATGTATGTGTATGTGTATGCATATGTAAAATACTAATATATGCATATTAAATCCTTTTTTTATATCATAATACATTTCATGATCAGCTTGAAAATCCTTTTCTATCTTTGGACATGTCCTATTTAGGTAGTTCAAGGATTTCACAATGTCTTTTTGACAAACCAAATCCGTTTACGGACGCGTCCTACCAAGCCTCTAAAAGTTCACGTCTACACTTGCTCGATCCTAAACCTCCACCATTATTGTATGGAAAAATCATGAAGCTCTTTTCTCATAAAAATCTTCAAGGTCATGAAAACCACATTCTTTAAAACATTTCTAATTGCTATTGAAAAACTATAACATAAAACTTGTTTCCATGACTTTAAAACGTTTTCCATGAAATTAGGCATGCATAAGCATTTCATTGATAATGCATAAACATGAGGTGTATGCTATGAATAACCATGTGATTATGCTATAATAATGTACAAAATCAATAACATAATCACATTAATACTATTACCTTACATAAAGAATACCAACCATCACAATCTATGCCAATACCAACATACCATTCAAACAACATAACATCACAATAATCAACATTTCAACTATATGTAATATTCATAATTCAAACACATGACATATCATTCAAAAACACCATTAGATAAATAATTACTCAAAATAAACTAAATTTCTAAGTTTCCTATACTTAGGCCGAATTATCAACCATTTAATCCTAACAATTTTCTTTCAACTATAACATCCATTTCACACCAAATTTTACAATATTTAACCCTAACTCAATTAAATGTTGAATAATTAAAATTAAATATATACATGATTTTCACTTTGGGTCCTTATTGGACCTAAACCTTAATTTTATTAATATATGTAAATTTTTAGATACTAATGAAACTTTTCATTCTTATTCATCTTATTAACTAATTATTAGATTAAACTAACCAATTTAAGTGTTGAAGACTAATTAAAACCTAAACCCTAATTACTTTTATATTAGGTCGAAACTTTCCTCAATTAAAACCAAATTAATTTTTTCTCATTTTTTTCTACATTTTTAATAACAAGTAGTTTAGACACATTCTTAATAGGAACCAATCTAATCAACATTCGATACAAATTCATATCTAAATCGAATTGGGCCTAAGTCCAATTAAGCAATTTTCTTTAAATTTCTTCAAATTTTCCTTCTTACACATCAAATTATACTTATTCAAGTACTAATCAACCAACAAATCATGAATTAAATGAGTGAAACTTAAACACTAAAAATTCAAGTTTAGGCCAAATGTAACACTAGGAATTTCATGAATTTTTATTCAATTAAAGTGAGGTTTTTCATTCCTAAACACTAATTCATTCGTAATTAAGTCATATTCAAACTCTAAAACATCAATTACATGAACGAATCAAAAAGCCCCAAATCACCACTTTAGGCCAAATGCTTCCCCTTAAACAACCCTATAAATTTTTGAGTTTCAATCCTCAATTTCAATTCCAATTAACATAATCCAACCGCAATTACATGAATTATAAGGTTAAATCCATTTCTCCCAATTTTTGTTCATCAAGAATCCTAATCCTAATTTTTAAAATTAAAGCTAAAATTCAAAAATTAGAGCATATAAATCACAAAGTAACATCAATTAAACAACCTTTATGATGTACGTAGAGCTAACTTACATAGATAAGCTCCAATTAAACTTCAAAAAGTGAGATCATTGAAAAATTCTTCCTTCCTCTTCCTTACCTCAATTTAGGCCTATCTTCCAATTTCTCCCTTGATGACTTCTTAATCTCCTAACTTGATTTCCTTGCTTGATTAGTTTATTTAAGGCGTGTGGAAGTGATTTTAGTGGTTTTTTGGTGGAAATTTCTAGGAAACTTTTGCAAGAGTTTCCCTTGATTTTTGCTATTTTTCATAATTCCTTGCATCCTTATTTATGGGTAAATTTTTGGTGGAATTTTGACCTCATCTCACCATTAAATTGTTGAGTTTTTGGAGTGATCTTGGATCTTAAATTATCTTTTAATCATAGCCCTTCAATAGGACAAGTTATTAACCTTTAATTTTTCTTTAATTCCTAACCCTCTATTTTATATCCCACTTAACCTTTCCTTTTTAAGCAAGTCAAAGTTCATTAATTACGCCTTAATCATGCAGCAAATTTTGTCCGGAAAGGTGGAGAAGTGTCCAAAAATTTCCTTAATTTTAGTCCCTCATTTTACTAATCTTTTCTCTAATTGCTCCTCTAATTATCCTTCAATTTTTCTATTGATCGATCACTTTAGGTCTTTCTCTTAAAGGTATCTTAACAACTTTTAAACTCCTTAGGTTCATAGCTAATTTAATCTAGAAGTTCAAACTTTTAATTTTATGCAATTAGGTCCCTAATTCTAAAATTTCATTCTATACTTTTCAAAAACTTAATTTCTCTCCAAAATAAATTCAAATACTTACTAAAAGAATTTAATCACGATTTACATGATTTTTATACTCTCATTTAGGCCTCCAAATTAATTATTTAGTGTGAAAATTGCACTTATTTACTATGAATAATATTCCACATATGTTGAAAAATTAATTTAATTTTATTAATTACTCCTACACATCCTAAATGATTTTTATATGTCTTTATAAAAAAAAAACTCCTCATCCTTTTTAAGTACCTAATTTAATTATTCTACCTCTAAAACACTATTCCTCCACATAAAATTCAATTAGAATATTCACAACACATAGAAAAATTCATAAAATCACATAAATTAATTCAACACCCCTCTAATAAATATTCTAAGTAAACAAAATAGTTTTCATGCACATGCGGCATGTTTTAAATAATTATTTCATGCGAAAACCAATATTCATGCATCATAAAAATTAGGAAATATTCATTAATCATAAAAAGACAATTTCAACCATTCTAAATATCCTTTCTAGTCTTTAAGTTTATTTTATACCTTTAAAATATTTCTCACATGCATTTAATATTAAATTTTTATTTAATTTTAATTTTAGTGACTACTAGTTATTACACATAGGCAGAGAAGACTTTTATACGAAATGCATTGAAAAGAGACACGACCATGTCTCACAAAGCGAGGAAGAAGTCCACATGAGTAGAGGGAAGTTATACGGGATGAAGAACAAATCCACACGGTTTTGTGCCTATGTCCATCGAACTATGCAACACCAATCTTCCAAGGCTCTAAGCTGTATGAAATGAAGAAAAAGTCATGTGTGACTAAGCAAACAAGTGTGGCTATGTGGGGTCGACACATATGAAGTAGCGATCGTCAAATTTTGGCATCATTGTTGGGGATGATTGCGTGAAATTAATTATTTCTTGGTATTTTAATTATTCTTGTGTTTCCATTGTGGTTGCTATATGACTAGATCGTAAGCGGATTATATGATTTTCAACCCCGATATGGAGAGAGAATTGAGCAAATTGAGAAGAGAAGCTAGACTAGCTTCGACAAAAAGGATTGAGTCATCCTAAAGATTAGTTTCACCGAACATAACTACTATTCTCAAATTTTTGACATCAAGTGATTCTAAAGGAGAGATAATAGCCGCAAACATGGCAAATAGAACTTTAAAGAAGTTGGCTACTCCCGACCTTAATCAACAGCCCTCGTGTATCAAGTTCTCAAATCTTGATGTTGTATTTTAATTAAAATCGGGACTAATAAACTTGTTGTAGAAATTTCAAGGCCTTGCTGGAAAAAAACCCCCATAAACATATGCAGGAGTTCTATGTGGTCTACTCAACCATGACACCACAAAGGAGTATTAAAGGAGCAAATCAAGCTACAAGCATTCCCTTTCTCATTGGATGAAGATGCTAAGGACTGGTTATATGGTCTCCCTATAAGATCCATTGATTCATAAAATTGGATGAAGCTGCCCATCTTGTTGAAATATTTTTCTATATCGAGAGTTGTGAGTATGCAGAAAGAAATCTGTAGGTGGATTCTTTACAGTAACTATAGGTGGATTCTTTCTTACTTTCTTTTTCTTTGTTTCTTTTTACCCAATTATACTTTCATCCAATAAGGTTATAACATACATTAAGTTTTTCTTTGTTTATTTATTTTTTGTTAGTATAAATAAATAAGAGTTGTTTTTTATAGTACTATGCACGTGGTCCATACGTTATAAATTTATTGTGAATAAATTATAAATTTCAAGGAAAAAGGAAAGAAAAACGTAATATATGTTATAACCTTATTGGATGAAAGAATAATTGAGTGAAAAAAGAAAAAAAGAAATTGCATTTGGAGCTTTAATTCAAAAGGAAAGAAAGAAAATAAATATCTTAATAGCCATGCTTCTGACTTACCTCAGCCTAAATAGCTACGTTTGAGTGCAGAAACACAAAGTAGCTACATTTTTCCTTATCAACAGGTAAGGAAATTTATTTAATAACCTGTTTCAAGTCTGAACTCCAAGATTGACCCTTAAAAAAGAATGATTAAATAAATATTTTGCCCACAAAAAATAAAATAAAATAAAATGAAAAGGCAAAATACACTCTGATAATATGATTATGGAACTATTTAAAACATTTTATTACTACTGGGTAGTCTTGACAGAAAGTAGTTGAAACATTATTATGATAATTTGCTGCATTCCTTTCTTCATGCCGATGCCAATAAGAGTTAATCACAGTATTTGTCTACTGATACAACATCAACTACATTGTTCTGCCTAACGAGGAAATTACTTCAAAGTAGCAAGATTTTCCTCCATAAAAACGTTCTAAACAGAAACAAAACATGCATGCAGTCCCATATCTTCTTCACCCCAAGATCAATGTTGCTCGTCAACTGCTTGCGGAATTGACTTCACCTGAAGCAAAAAACAAGAAGTCCATGTAAATACTTCCAATAAATTTGTCCGCTTTATTTCTCAATATTAAAATTCGGCTCTCTTCACCATTGTTAAAAGTTGAAAAATCTGTTTTCCCATACTACACATGCGCAAGAAAACATAGAATGGTCCTGGCAACTATATAAACAGTTGACATGCATCATCATCTGTTATGAATGCTATCTCTTGATCGGCACCACAAAATGATCCTTTAATTTCAAAGAAGCTGGATGAGTTAACTAACCAGATCCTGGTACTTGAGAATGTAAAACATCTCGAGATATCGTCTTGTTTCTCTCCTCTCAAGCTTAGAAACATGCTTCCAGAAGCCATAAACCCCAGTTAGTGTCAGTAGCCTCTCAGAATAGATCTTCCATGTGTACCTACAAAATTGATCTTAAATTAGCTACTCTTCTGCAAACAGAAATCTCCCTTGAGAAAGATCACAGAGCAAAAGCAGACCTTTCATAGATTCTTTTAAGCCCTCCATCAGAAATATTGTTCCAGTGGCTAGGGTCTTTCTGGCATTGTTCAAAGAAGTCGACCAAGAGTGTAGCCATCTGATCAGGGTGATAGGGATCAACATGGAAGCCTGAAATACCATGCTCAATGATCTCAGCAGGGCCACCATGGCAAGTGGCAAAAGTAGGAAGCCCACTGACCATAGCTTCCACAACGGTGAGGCCAAAAGCTTCATAGAGAGCTGGCTGCAAACAAATACACTCAGGTTAAAAGAGCAGCTTTAATAAAAGAAAATGAAAATCAGCATTTCACTATCTACAACACATACCTGTACAAAAGCACCTTTTGTGTCAGCAATGTAACGGTAGAGTTCACCATTACGAACACGGTTCATTTGGGCAGGTATCCATCGAAACTGGCCATGCATATTGTACTGCTTCATAAGGTCATGCATCTTTTCAATCTCAGCCAATTCTTCTTTATCCTTGGATTTATTCACATCTATGTAACCTCCAACCACAACAAGATTTACAAGTTCTCTTAGCTTGCTGCTCTTGCCATAGCACTCAACAAGCCCTGTCATGTTTTTCACCTTGTCCAATCGTGCCATGGAAAAGATTATAGGTTTTTTACGGTCGCTCAACAGGCCTCTGCATCAGCATAAGTGCAGAAAATATTAAATGATGGCATCTTTGCCACACATGTGATCAATACAGATATTGCTGGAAATTGAATCTGACATGCACATCATTCAATGCCAAACTAATTTACATACTCAATTTTCATCATAAGAAAATGTCAAGCTTAAGCTTGACTAGCAAATCATTAGCCAAATGCCAAACTTATTGACATACTCAATTTCCACACATGTGGTCAATACAGATATTGCTGGAAATTGAATCTGACATGCACATCATACAATGCCAAACTAATTAACATACTCAATTTCCATCATAAGAAAAAGTCAAGCTTAAGCTTGAATAGCAAATCATTAGCCATATGAGAAGTATCTTACATCTGGTGCGTCTCATACAATGAAAGACCTGTTTCAAGCAACCAATTTTAGCAGTCAATCAGACTCCTCAACAAAAAAATCATCTATCATATGTAGTCACAATAAGGAGGGCATTTTCTGTTCTCCTTTTCTTCTCATGGTCCATAAAAGATAACACCAAACTTCTGAACAAATTATAGAGCAGCGGTAATAGTTCAACATCTCACAAAAATGAACCAATGTGTTTACACTTTACAGATCAAAATGAAGCAACTAGGGTGTTCACACTTTACAGGTCAATTTGAATTTCACAATGTTCTATTTCTGGTAGCAAAAAAGATAACTAACAGTCAATAATAAACCTGCAGAGAAGTTTATCAAATGGCAAGTATGGCTCAAATTAGAATATGGTAACCAGGTTGTGACAATTTCACACACTAATTTGAAGGACTAGAATTATGAAAAAAATTAACAGTTTTGAGATAGTCATAAGGACATAATATCATTACGAACTTATATTCTAGCTTTAAAAGATACTCACACATGCTCATCATTCTGCTCAGGATCAAATAGGAGTTCCTCAATTGAACCATGTAAAGCAGGGAGTCTCTTTTCCTTGTCAGAATATGGAAAGTATATGCACATATCTGCACCTGGGGAAACGATATTGAACTTGGGATCAAAAACATCTATGCCATGAACAACTCGATATAGCCCTGGAAGAGTGAAGGCAGTGTGGCTTTCATACTGTCCAACATTATTCTTGCTGAAATAATGGAAAAAATTGTTAAAAGAATGTGACAATCTGAAAAGACAGAATGTTAGTATAAAGAAAATAATACATCAAAAGGTTGCAAGGCATCAGAAGCTATGACATTCTTCTTGCAGAAATAATGGAAAAGGGAACATGATTTAGAAATCAACATTTGAACAGTAAAAGGTAAATGCACTGAAGATTAGTATATGCACAGAAGAATTTTAAGTGAAAGGAGCAACAGAAAAATATTTTGTAGCTACGAAAAATTGAATTTTATGCTAAGGATATTTTTAATTCCATTCTTCTGTTAAAGAATAAAGAAAACTTACGTTCCTGCAATCTCCTGGTATGTGCTGGTGATTATGAAATCTGCATTGTTCATTGCAATTAGGTCAGCTGTAAACTGACTTGCAAAATGGTACTTGTTTTCATATTTTCTCCAGTATTTATCAGAATCTGGATACTTTGTTTTCTCCAATGCATGCGCAATTGTACACTGCATGAGATATTTAATTTGAAAGTCATCTGACAATACTGATTGTTTTTTTGCCATTTGAGAACAATTAACTCAGTAATCGCAGCAAACCTGTGTAGTTCCTAGCTTGTATGATAACAAAGATGCAACGAGATTTCCATCACTATAGTTTCCAATGATCAGATCTGGAATACCCTGTAACTCTGCGGAAATTTCATTTGATGCATCCTGGGAACAACCAAATAAAGAAACAATTACAAATAATGCCCTGAAAAAAAAGGATAATTTTTCCAATGTTCAATGAAGCTCAAATTCTGCAGCTTCTATTCTTGTCAATGGCAAAAAATCTGATATTTGGGTTCAACTTTTTCATCACAGGTTAATTGCATTGATCTGCTATCAAAATGCAACCTCAGCAACATGTTACTCAAAATTTTTATGCTTCTCAAATCAGATTATTATTTTTTCTTTTTAATTCCAAGAAACTTTTTTCTTCTAACTTCAAAAGAGTCTTCTTCATTGACATTTCACAAGCAAGTAAAGATTCAATTCACAGGATCAAAAATCAAGGATACCATGCATCACCAATGGGACCAATGAAGGAAGAAAAAAGGAAACAAAACTAGAGAGTTGAAAAAAAAATTAAAACTTTTTGCAAGTCCTTACTTCTGCAAAGGTCTCCAAGTATGGCCACACCTCAAACCTTGAAATCCATTTATGAAGAATTCCATTCTCAGATCTAAAAGGCACCCGCAGAATTGATGCATGTTCTGTACCACTGATTCTTTCTAGTCTTTGGTTGCATGTGTTGCCTTTCGCATCTGGTATCAATCGGGTTACCTTAAACACCATTTAAAGAAACATGAGATGAGTATCAAAAAGGTAATTGTTCAAACTAGTTGAATAGAAAAGAAGAAGAAACAAATTAATATCATTATATATACCATTGAGCAAATCAATCATATACTTACGACAAGAATTTTTGGAACAACATCCAATCCTTGTTTTTGTATTCTAAGAAGCATCTCACTCTCCAATGCACGTACTTGATCAAGTATATAGACGACCTGACACATGAGTTCAATACATCATGAATCAGAAACAAGAGAAAATCCTCTTTCAAAACTTTGCTATGATGGAATGAAAGGGTCCTCAAAATATATAAAGAGTGGAATCAACTTTAAAGCAGGTAAAACAGAATACAATCACTACCTGTCCACCAGTGTCCGGCAAACCTAAAACATTTGCTTGGCCAAAGTAACCATGGGGAGAAACAATGACAACATTGAATACCATTGGAATCCTCCCAAGGAATGATTCCAAAGAAGAGGGATCAGGTGCCTGAAGGATATCTGAGAGAAGATGCATCATCTCCAATACACGTTGTGCTGTGTCACCCCAACCTCGCTCAAATCCCATTTCTTGTAACCTACAATATAAATTGTGAGAGCTCATCATACTCGATCAATCAGCAATCTGCATTTTTTTCTTTTTAATTATTTGACTTCTATGAGAAGGAAAGTGAAGTAGATTGAAGTAGAGCCAATAGTTTACCGAAATTCAAAGTCTGAGGATGGTGCATCAGGTGGGAACTTAGAAAGATGTTCCTCTGCCCTTGATAAAGCAGATTGAAGTTTGGATATGCTTTGTATCCTTTCATTCAACATCATCGCCTACATAAAGTAGTGAAATTTGAACATTTGATCCACACAACGTTTTAAATTATCAACAGACATTAAAGAAATGCAGATATAACATCAAAAATTATTTGTACATTCACATCAAAATTTTACATGATAGCCAACCTAATTCCTCAAGAGAATTCAAACCTCGTGGTTCAATGGAATAAACACTTTTATTGAGGCTCTTTATAAAAAAACTAAAAAAAAAAAAAAAGAAGAAGAAGAAGAAGAAGAAGAAAAATAGGTCAATTTGTCTTTATATAATAGCTTGAGTCTCCAATATATTCCTACTATTTTAATTCCAACTATTATACCCTTCAATAATGTTAGAGTCTCCAATATATCCTTTCGATCAATTTTTCCAACCATTGAATTTTATTTATTATTATTTTTTCAAAAGCCCTTGACTAAAATGCAAAAAATAAACCATTTAAAGTTACATGACTTGCATGTTCCATTTTTTAAGCTTTTAAAACATATATACAAATTTTGCATTTAAATCAATGGTATTTTGGTCAAAAAAATTGCCTATAGTTGGAAAAATTGACCGGAATAACAAGTTAGAGACTTCAATATTATTTAATGATGTAATAGATGCAACTAAAAACATAAACACAGATAAGAGACTGAGGGACAAATTGTGCTACTTAACTAATATTTTTTTTAATGAATATGACATTGCAGCAAGGCCATTCTGCCACTTAGAATACTCCATAGCAATACAAAAACACTACACATTTCAACAAGAGAATCAAGCAAAGCAAACTTACATGACCATCATGTTTATGAGTCCGGAGAAAATCAAGCAGAGGCTCCAAACTCTCTTTGTTCCGGAACATAATTGACGATAGGTGGCGGTTGAGGAATTGAACTCCATTTCCAATGGATGATGACCGTGTTGGTCGTGGGAACGATGCATTAAATGGCTCAAAATCAAGTTCTAGCACATATTTCCCATTACACCTACCACAAATTCCACAATGTTCCAAATACTAATCAAATATGTTCGTAAGAAAGTTGGAAGGAAACAAACTTGCAAACACCACAAAATTAACTTACTCTCCATCCACAAGTTCTTCTTTGAATTGAAGATATTCAGACACACTCAAATTATCCACACTGAGTTCATAGACGTTAACACGAACATATTCCCAAACACCAGGCCTTGGACGAAGCGCCATTCCCACAAATGGAGGCAGAACTATAGCTTCCTATAAAACCCAAATTAAACACAAATATACAAATTCAGCTTGCATTAGTTGGGCATTCAATGTAAAAAATATTTAGGCCTAAAGATTCATAATTTAGTATACCTGTGCAGATTCAAGGACTTCAACAAAGGGACTGTCATTAAGCTTCTGCATTGTTTCATCTTCCTTAATTATATTGACCAGTTCACCTACCAACTCATGTGCTTGCAGTATCCCTTTTCCCTTAGCCACATACCTTGCCAACAACCAAACAATTCTCAAAAATCAAGAAATCAAACAAAAACACCTTTATCCTAACAACATTGTTAAACATTATGTTCTCGACATGAAATTACAAATTAAACAAGAATTAACCCTAGTACTTGTTCAAATTGTTTAGTTAGGGGCATGACATTGTACCCATGTTTACCTTATATGGAGGGTTCTCTACAAAGGTTTCTGAAAAAGATGAAACAAGAATTTGATGTACCTGGAGAGAAGAGAAACAAGTTCGTTCCTGTGAACTAAGAGAGTATCACGCATCCTGTCTCTCATGCCAGCAGGCCCATCGAACTTAGATAGCGGCATTGTCAATTTTCAAATAAAATAGAAACAGAATAGCAGTTTAGTAATAGGGAGGAGAAAAAACAAAGATATTGATAGATAAATGGAGAGAAATCGTGAATTTATAAAGCCAAGGCAGAATCAAGAAGGTGAAAATGAAGCCAAAACAATGAAAGGAAACTGCCATTGTTTGCAGTTTATGCATGATGCTGAATATAAGTAGAGTGACACTTGGCATTTCAGTGGAGAATGCAGACACTTCTCCCTTTCTTTCTGAAATTGAAACTGTGGGCTTGTTTTGGTCCTATCTAACCCTAGACTGTCACGCCCATGAGAGAATCAAGAGAGTGCAATACATGCACCAATGGAACTGAGATTGTGGCTTTTGTAAGAGGTTGTTAGGCGACAGGCGAGTGAAGCTGAGGCTCTTGAGAGTCGAGCATTTAGCCCTAAACCCTGCCAAACCAAACCTGCCGTTTGTTGTTCAGTTTTTGGTGCCCTGACGTTTTAATTTTCCTCGTTTTATTATTATTATTATTATTTTCTAATTTTAGGAAAAGGATAACACTACCCATATTAATTGGTTGGTGTTCTTTGAATAATGTAATTATCTGCGAGAGAGTACATGTATTATTGTTTGTGGTTAGATACACCAATTCAAGTTTTAATGTGATTGAATTAATATTATTATATTATCTTTGCTTTTACAATGAGATATATTTTCGAATTAATTTACCAATCAGACTAAATTTGTTTTATTATTTATGCACTGTTACATATATAACATTGTAACATTCACATCCATTCGTTTGCTTCGACTATGTACTACCACATTTTACAATCTTTTCTCGCTACTTTCTCTTGTTCCATTCGTGGCCCTCTTATTTTGCCTCGACCATACCCATAAGTCAGTGCATATAGGGTAGCGTACTCTAAGCCCACAATGTATCTATTAAAAATAAAATATCTGTCCTTTAGGTTATTGTTAATCATTTTTTATATATTGGTTTTGATCATCTTGTTGATAAATATAAATTGTCCATTGGCCTAAGGATAATGAGTAAAATTTACAATTTGGAACCTCATTTCTTGTGCGAAATCTGAAATAACTCTTTCATTAGATGTAGTGGCTTGATCCATAATTATGTACTCTAGAATTCCAAATTATGTGATTATTATTTTTTTTATGGATCATGCATTCTATGGAGATGTGGAATAAAATAAAAAAAAATTTCCTCCTTCTAAGACTCTCAATATCAAACCGTTGAATCAACTAATCACACATATATGAATTAAAACATAAATAAAGTATTACCTCTCATAGCATAGATTTAACCTTTTTAGAATATAATCGTTCAAGTATCCGACCTCGTTAATAATCCACACGAGTCCAAGCATCCATATAAGAAGCACTCAAAAGTTGTAGAGTGCTAACTTCATCTTTTTCGACTTATTTAATATTTTCTATTTAAAAATCTACTTAGAGATATTTTGCGACAATCCTAATTGAGACAAAGAGAGTTAGCACGGTTTTTAGATAAAGAAAACTATTTCCTTTCTTTTTCCTATAATGTCATATATGCCTATCACTTAGTCCCCTCTTTGCCGCACCTCTCCTTTTATTTATAAGGGGAGTGGCTTCCTTGTCCTCCATGGATAAGGAAGTAGCGACAACAAGTCCAAAAAGGACTCGAGGTTGTTGCTTCCTAATCTTTTAAGGATTAGGAGTTGCAATGCATGTGAACTTTTTGATCTTATCCTTATAAACCTTGATCCTTATCCAATATGGTTCAAGTTCACTCTTCCATCAAAATATCTTGCAAGCTTTTAAATTAAACATATTGGCCCAAACTCTTTTGGCCCAATTAATTGTCAATTAATTTGGACTATCCAAATAAATTAGGTTATATATTTTTAAGAGGCCCATATCGGGAAATAATTTCTTAAATTACCCTTAAACCTAAATTAGGAAACTAATTTTCTTTTTAAGTAACTTATCTCCAAATTTAGAACGAACTTCCAAATTAGGAAACAGATTTCTAAAATAGGAAACTTCCATTATAGAAAACTTTTTTCAAAACAGGAAAATTCCTATTTTCAAAAACTTTTTCCAAAATAGAGAACTTTCAAAATTGGAAACCTTTTCCAAAAATTTTTCTTCTCTTTTATATGTGAATGCTTAAACTTATGCATGTGATTCAATAAGCTCCTAGATATGTTGGCAATGTATCAAGAATAAAAGACACATATTTTATATCTTGATACCTAAATCAAGATTGACTTCTAGCAAGGTTCATGACTATCCAATTCTTTAGGAGGATTAATTAATCCGCAATTACCTTTCATGAGCATAGTTACCATCCAATTCAATCCTTTTGTTAATTTATCATAGTGTGATCTCGAACTTGATTTTTAGTCTATTCGATTATGATTAGAAAAGTTTTCTTCGATTTCCAAATGTCTTAGCTCTTAGAGTAAACTATGCTCTATTGGTGTACTCCTACCGTGGCCGATAATTTCTTGAATAGATATATTTATTGAAGTGTAAAATAATAACTCCTTTAGCATACAAGAAATGACATATCATATCTTACCTATCCACCTATCTCTAATAGATTTATAGTGCACCCAATGAATTACCCACGTGCAATCTTTTATGAGGTCTATTGAAACAAGCGTCAAAGTATATAAATTCTCTAATGAGATAACCGTGATGACTTTAAGTCAAAGAACTAGTTGTACCCATATCATATGAGATTCTCATAAACTAAATCAAGTCTAGTGATATGTTCTCTAATATTAATCAACTAAGTGCATGCTTTGGCATCATCATACCAATATGTGTGAGATCTCCTACTACTATCTTATAGCATGAGCATAGTACTCACAAGTCTTACCGCATATAGTCAATATTCATTCTTTATGAGGACTAGTGATATTTAATTATATCATTTAAGTGCATTAATATTTGTCTCACATCTTTCAATTAATCATTAATGCAATGCATATCATATATGCTTCTATCTAATTTCATTCATAAATATAAACAATAAGAATTAATAGAAAGACTTTTTTATTAATAAAATAAAGAATGTAATATTAAAATAAGTCAAACCATCCAATCAAGGTTAGATTTTAAGCAATTACACTAATAAATTATATTCCTTATTATGCTTAGGCCAATTGACAAGCTAAGCTACCAACAAGATCATCAAAGTCAATATACAAAAAAATAATTAACAATAACCTAAAAGAGAGACCGACATCCATTTTTAACAAATGCATTGTGAGCATATAAGATCACCCTAAGAGAGGCATATAAGACCAACCTAAAAGAGGTAACTAATGCTATAACTAATGCTACACTATATGCACCGACTTATAGGCATGAAGTAATATTATCTTGTGAAACAAGGGTGAGGTACTTAAGGGTGGGATATCGACATCAATGCATATACACTTAATACTAAGATGCAATGATTGATGTGTTAGATTAAGTTGATTAGTCTAGAATGGAAGCTCTAACCCATAAGTAAGTGCAAACACGGAAAGTGGCTAAAGCATACAATAAAAGGGTAAAAGCCAAAATATTCCAACCTAGAGATTTGACTTGGAAAGTAATTCTACCTCATAGGTTAAAGGATAGACAATAAGAAAAATGGTCTCCAATATGGGAATGATCATTTCAAGTGTGTAAGGCATACTTTGGTAATGCCTATTAGTTGCAAGGTTTATTTGGAAAGCTCATATAAAAGCCATCAATGGAAACTATTTGAAGAAATATGTTCCTTCCATTTAGAAAACTAATAAATAAGTCTTAAAGAAAAAATATCTAGATGTATGAAACCAATTCCAGTTCTAGTTCCAATCTTAAATGTTGGATTAAATAGATAAACACACATAAACAAACAAAAGCACATGTATATATATAAGCAAAAATTTTATTATCGAAGTGATGGAAATTACAATCCAAAATGTTTCTTCAAACATTATAAAAAAGAAATTACAAAAAATGGGTAACCTAAAGGATGATAGGATAGATTCCATCCTAGTTTCTATCTCTTCAATAATTTGTTTAGCCTCCAAGATAGCCTTCTCCTTAGCCCAAACGAAGTTTTAGCAAATTTCAAATGAGTGTAAAGGAAAGATACTTTTGCCTTTAGCATTGGTAGATCTCTTTCCCACTATAATTGGACACTCGAGGCCGAATTGAAAACTTGAGTGACTTTAAAACTAGAAGGTAAGTTTGGTCTCCGGTTGGTTGGAAAGTTCTTCCTTCCATTTCAATAAAGGATCTTTAAAATATCTAAAAGTTATATTGAAGGACGCCACTAGAACTCTAGATAGTTCTAACTCTACTAGTTCTAAAAGGCAAGTCATAAAATTAAAGGAAAACCACTCGAATGATGAAGAATGAAGGAAATCTTCAAAAAAAAAAAGCCTATAAAAAATAAAATAAAGTGTTAGCTATTGTAAAACCCCAAACAAAAGGTGTATAGAAAAGAAATTCACTCAACCCAACAACAAGGTTGTTATCTCTAATTCGACTTCCTCAAGAGTGACATAAGCAACATCTAAGTCGGTTACAATATTAGTGTCATCTTTAATGGTGATAATCCTAGTAGTAGGTTCTAGAGGTACATTGCTTATGTAGGTTACAATCTCAATTCCAACGTGAGCTTTGGAGTCATGCTCTTTACCTTAACCACTACAAGCATCATGGAATCATGTTTTCAAATAATTTGAAGGGACATACATTATTTAAACATTAGAGTTTGGAACTTTTTTTTCTTTTTCCTTATATTTCAAAGTATCTAGGTTATTTCTTTTTAAAGGAATCGAAGAGGTATGTGGCTCCTCAACCTTAACAACACCCCGATTTCTTATCCCAATAGAAATTGAAGAGACATGTGAGGTCGTAAAAGACCCACTAACAATCCTAATAGAAGATGTTTTGTACATAACATTGAATTGCTATTTAAGAGGTTCCATTAAAGAAAATTTTTTCTATAATTATAGAAAAA